CCGGCTGTGCGGGACACCTTGCCTCCCCGGGCCTGCCTTGTCCCCTGGACCATCACTCTTGCTGGCCTGTACCCATCCGAGGGTGGAGAAGGACAGGTGGGAGCCATCCCCGGAGCCCCCTGCCCCTGTGTGGCCCTCCTGTGCCCACCACCACTCACCACCAACCCCAGGGGCAGAGGGTGCCCGCTGTGGAGACAGGGAAGGAAAAGAGGGCCACCCCCCAGTGCGGTCTCATTACGTGAGCACAGCCACTGCCAGGAGGTGCTCTCAGCCCCAAGACACTGCGGCCACAGAGCTCGAGAACCTTGGCCAAAGTCGCGGGGCCCGGGAGGCAAAGCCCTGTGGCCTTGGGGCAGGGCGGCGCTGCGGCCCACACTGGGCTCTGGGGTCTGAGCCCCCTGTGGTGGGACAGGGCCCGCGGCACATTTACCTGCTTTCTCCTCCCACGTGGCTTCCCGGTCCTCGGCCAGGCGCCCTTGGGGGGGCCCAGGGGGCTGGGGCCCCGCATGAGGGGAGCCATGCTGAGCTGCCCGGAGTCCATGGCCCGCGTCCCGCCGCCCCGCGGGCCAGGGCATCCCGAGGAGAGGAGGCAGAGTCCACCGGAGGGGCGGGCCCCGCGCCGGAAGTGTGGTAATTTTCTCTTGTTTGAACAGGAAGCAGACAAGGATTTTCCCCCAGCTCCCCAGGCAGAACGGCAACTGGGGTACCGAAGGAAACCTGCCTTCTCAGAATCTCCCCGGCTGTGGATTCTGCCTTTGGAAACTTTTCCTTCCTACCAAGGCCAGTGTGCAGGGAGGGGAGAGAGAGTCTAGCATAAGCCCAGGGCCGCTCCCCAGGGGTGGGGACCCATAGAAAAGGCCACTGACTTGGCAGGAGAAGCCTGGTGGGGTGCCAACCCTGACCCCACTCCTTTTTTTCTCTTTCGATGCTATTAGCATTGCCACTATTTTACTGTGTGTCCTTAGGCAAGTTGCTTTGCGCCTCTGAGCTGCCACATTTGCAAGTGCAAAACGGGAGACTGATCGGGCCCCGACTGTCCAGCACAGCTATTTCCAGGCTCAGATAGAAACCATGAAGCCCGTGCTGGGGATGGACTCAGGCTGCCCTGCAGCTCTGGAGCAAATGAGGAGGCTGTGCTCATTCAGCACTGGCTTCCGAGATGCCTCCTGCTTCCCTGCCCCCAAACGGCTCAGAGGAAGCACTCATGCGAGAAGATCCCTGGTGCACACAAGGACGGCGTGGGAATTAATTCCCAATTTCAGAGAAGCAGCTTTAATTGTGTCTCGGGCAGGCTGCCTGGGCCCGACGCACAAGAGCAGTGAAATAGCTGCCCGGCGGGGAACCAGGACTTCCAGAGGGACAAGCCAGGCCTCAGTCATCAGGCTAGTTGTTCACTGAGCACAGGAAACAGCGCAATGGTCCTTCTGCGTAGCAATCCCGCAGGTGGACTCTTGGAGAGCCGCTCTTTCTGGAACTGATTTGCAGCCCACTACCAGCCCCCCACCCCAAGCGGAGCTATGGTCCAGGGCAGGACACTGACACGGACACACCTGGTTACAACATGTCACGAGATGGCTGAGGATTCCCAGGGGAAACATGGAGGCGGCACTGACCCAACCTGGGGCTGGAACACGGAAGACTTCCTGGAAGACTTCCTGGAAGAGGTGGCTCCTGGATGACAGCCTGGGGAGTGTGCTGGCCACGAAGAGGGTGGCATAGAGGGCACTGAGCCAAGGTCCAGGGTATGATGGGAGTGAAGTCATCTGGAGTGGTTGGGGCCCACGGTGTGGGCGGGGCGCTGGAGGGAGCCCAGTGCCTCACACCAAGAACCTGCACCGTGGAGCCATGACTCAGCCGAGAGGAGTGTCTCTTTAACCGGAGTCTGGGTGACCGGAGGCAGGTGGCCTGGCCTCCCTGGACCTCCCTTTCACACCTGGGAGGTGAGGATAATGGTGCCCAGCCTGTCGAGTTCACACTTCCCTGGCAATTTATCCTTGTGTTGATCTTTGCCCTGCTAAATGAGGTTTTATATAAATGTGCACATATTCTGAGTCCTGGCTGCTTCCACACCCGTCACAGGAGACTAGGCCCAAATGGGTGGAGGTCTGAAACCGGCTCCTCCTTGGACCAGCTACATAACCTTGGACAAGTGGCTCCAGCCCTGTCTGAGCCCCGTTTCCACGCCTGTAGAATCTGCCTTACCCCAGTGTGGCCGAGAGAGCCGCAAGAGAGCCCCGTGTAAAGGCCAGCACAGGGAGGGTGCCGATTGGCTATTGGTCTTTGCATCTGGTATAAAGACAAGGCCCAAGGGTCCCAAGGAGGGAAAGAGGCTTTCTAAGTGCCGAGGACTTCCTGGAGGAGGGGGCAGTTGGCCTGGGCCTGGGGTGGGGTGGAGGATCGGTTTCAGGGTACCCTCGAGGATGACATCATCGCTTTCAACATCAATGTCCCCTCTAGAGAAATGACCTCTGGCACAGAGATACCTGCCCCCTCCAAATCCGGAAGGACACCAGCAGACAGTATTATCAACCCAAGTACGAGCCACCAGCGGCCTGTGCCTCGGTGCGCACACTTTACGTTCACACGGCTCCTTCCCGCAGAGCCCTGCCTCCAGCCCCTGCGCTCCCAGCCTGACCCCACCGCAAGCTGCCTGGCCCCCGGGAGGAGGGAGGGGGCAGGAGGGACAGCCCCAGAGCCACCGGAATATTCACATAAGAGAGGTAAGGAAACCAGGACTGACCAATTTCTTTTTCTCCAAAGCGCTTTCTTTGTTAGCGGGTGGGTCCTTCTCACTGAGCTTCATGGTTTCTTTTCGGATGTGGGACTGGGCTTTTTGTTTCTGAGAGAGAGGAAAAACAAAGAAGCCATTAGACTCTTGCTGGCAGAGACAGGTGGCCCTGGGCTCGTGGGGGTCCTGCTCCCCTGGAGACCTGGGCACCCCGGCTCCTCTCTGGCCTCAGTTTCTCCATCTGTGAGATGGTTGACTACGCCTGTGTTTCCCACGCTGGCTGCTTTGCTTTTAAATACAGGTCCCTCCCGGAACATTCCCGCTCAGTCATTCCCACGGTGGGCACATCTTGTAAACACTAGACTTCCTGTCCCCGAGATGTGAAAAGAAAAGCTGCGAACATTAAAACAAAGTGCCCGCCTCCCCTGTCAAACTGGAAACAGTTACCAAAATTGTCACCCGAATCACCGGCACAACAGAAGTAAAAATCGTACCGCTCCCCTGGAGTTTGGGAATATGTTTTCTAGAGCCATGAAAGCATTTAGGTCCTGCTGCCCAACTACTCCATTTATAGAAACTTATCCTAAAACGGTAAAAAAATGTGCACCAAGATTTAAGCCAGGAATTGTCATGGAAGCATTTTTTCATGTTAGAAAAAATAGCATCCACAACAGGAAAAAAACATGTAAGAGGAAAGCTTAAATAAATGATGGCACATCCATAGGATGAAACACACATAGCGCTTAAAACCTCACGTTCAAGAACATTTACTATCATGGGAAAATGCTCATAACTATTCTTACTTAACAAGAACGGGAAAGATCCATAAAAGAATATACATTAGTCACCATTAAAAATAAGTGTTCTTAACAGTCACTCTTAAACAACATATATACTTAAACTATGTCCGTGCATTTTTTAAATTTCAAATTAAATTTAAAACAAAATATTTATAGCTTCAATTATTTATTAAACATGTATTTTTTTATTTAAAAATATGTTTTTATTGATTTCAGAGAGAGGAAAGGAGAGGGAGAGAGAGTTAGAAACATAAATGATGAGAGTCATTGATCAGCTGCCTCCTGCACACCCCCTACGGGGGATCAGGCCCGTAACCCAGGCATGTGCCCTGATCCGGAAATCGAACTGTGACCTCCTGGTTCATAGGTCAATGCTCAACCACTGAGCCATGCTGGCCGGGCCACATGTATTTATTAAGCCCCTCGTGTGGAGGTGATGGCGATGCAGTCTGGAGCAAGACAGCCCTTGCCTCGCCCTCAGGGTGCTTCCATTCTAGGGGAGACAGGAAGAGGGTGCAGGCTGCTCATGGGACCCACAGGTGGTGAGTGGCATGTCCCAGCACAGGACGTGACAAGAGCGGGCGCCCGGGCTGCAGACGAGCAGAGGACAGGTCACAGGTTTACGTGCCTATAAAAGAAACTGCCTCAAAGCCGCTGTTACCACTTGGCTGTGATATTTTAGCTCATTGTTCTCTTATTGTTTTTCTACCATTTTCCAATTTCCTACACTGAAAAAAACACACCACACAAAACACTACTTCTACGACTAGAAAAAGCTTGTAAAATTTCTTTAAATTACAAAAATGTTTTTTGAAGAATGAAGCCCTTATGTTCGAGAAGCCAAAGAGACTTAAACAGCAGAATCCTGGGAGAATGCGCCTCTGGCAGAGGGAGCGGCTCTGGAGCTGTCCCTGGAGCCGCGGGCGAGAACGCGGGGGCCGGCTGCTGCTGCCGACGCCTGAGGGTGACCTCGAGGCCCCGAGAGCGCCGCCCGCCTCATGCCAGCGCACACCCGACGCTCCAGCTCACTGGGCCTTCGTCTTCAGGCCTCACGGGGCTCTGGTGAGGATTAAACGAGTTCATGTATGTGAGGCTCATGCCAAATGCTAAGTGATCACCAACTATTGTCCTCGCCGGACGCCGGCCAGTGGCCCCTGCGGAGCACAGATAAGGGTCTTGTAGAATGAAGAAAGGGGAGGGGAACCATCTGGTGTTTAACCCGGAGCACCCGAAACCGCCTCAGAATAATAATTCTCTAAGGTTTAAATAGGATAATAAATAAATAACATAACATAACAAAATAAATACACGCTCCTTGAATGGGGGTCTAAAAATGCGCATTTTCTGTCCTTTTGATCCTCAGTGACTATGCTAACATGCCCGCTGGACGACTCTTAATACTGTGCTGGGGCCCGGGGTGTGGCCCTGCCAGCCCTGAAAGGTAAAAATGCTGCCATGCTCACTGGTGAGCACCCACGTCCGAGCCCCCTGGGCGGCCGCCTGCCACCATCCAGCAGTTCGGAGAGCGGGCCCGCTCCCGAAGGATCGGCGCCCCCAGGCCGCAGGTGGGGTTAAGCACCTAGGAAACTGCCTCCGCTACCTCTGTTGCTGCTTCTCCCAGTAATTAAACCCTCACAGACACTGTGCACCTGACCCATGGCCTGCTGTGTTAGAAATAAAGCAGGCGAGCCCTGGCCGGGTTTGCTCAGTGGTTAGAGCGTCGGCCCGAGGACTGAAGGGTCCTGGGTTCAACTTTGGTCAAGGCATGTACTTCCGTTGCAGGTTCGATCCCTGGCCCCGGTCTGGGCGCATGTGGGAGGGAAGCAGTCAATGTGTCTCTCTCACATCTCTCTTTCTCTCTCTCTCCCCCTTCCACTCTCTCTGAAAAGCAATGAAAAAAAATATCCTCAGGTAGGGATTAAAACAAAACAAAACAAGAAATAAAGCAAGTGAGCCTGGAAGTGTCTTTACCCGACTTGTCCCAGAGCCCAGATCTGAGCCCCCACAGCTGAAAGTCAGACCCTAACTTACTGGCCTGTGTTGGGTAAGAGGATGAATGCCAAGAACAGGCCCTGGCTCACCAACACCCTGCAGAAGGTTGAGGACAGCCAAGGGCCCGGTTCTCCCAGACCTGGCACATGCCAGCTGGAGGCCACCTCCCTGAAGTGCCGGGAGCTGCTGCCCTGGGCAATGCCCAGTGGGCACAACGCCGCTGGCTGACACCTCTGAACAGGAAATGCCACACGCACCCTGGGCCCCGACTCTGATGAACACGGTGACCTCTTTCTGTGAGTGTTCAGGATTAATTCTCTGCTGACTTTGGCATGGAGCTATAGCTAATCCCCAAACGAGAGGCTGAAAAGGAACATGGAAAACAGCAGCTTTAAAAGAAAGAAAAAGAGACAGAGAGAGGAGGGGAAGGAAGGGAGGGAGGGAGGGAGGAAGAGGGTAGGAGGGAGCTTACCAGCCCCGGCCACCAGCCCTTGGAAAATAGCCTGCACTGCCCAGGATCAATGTCATTTCCATATTAGCATCGGTCGGACACAACGCTGAGCACTTCATGTGCATTTCCTCGCTTCGCCTTCACCAAGTTGATTTCCAATTCCCTCAGTTTCCAAGCCCCTTGTCCCACTGTTCTGTGGGAGTTTCAGTCATTCCTGAGACCATCCCCAGAGCCAGCCCAAGTCTGTGAGTGCAGCTTACCTGCGCCCGGGAGCTTCCCTCGCCTGCCCCAGTCTAAAGAGCAAACAATGCACTTTGCAGATAGAATAGCTCCCAGTAAAATCAGATACAGACCTGGGAAATTGTGAAATGTTAATGATTACATGGCATGCATCCAGAGTGACTGTTGCTGTAAACAAGGTATGATGCCTATCTTGACAGGCGATAAATGATTAACAAACGTGCCCAAGTTTGGGTCGGCAAGGTCCGGACCGGGGGTCGAAGGCAGAGGTGTCCCGGCAAAGGCCCTGATGACGAATGGGTTGACCTTCGTGGGTGTCGGATCCCTTCTTGCTGATGTGAGGATATGACCCGCATAGGACCAACATGCCCGGGCTGTGGTGAGGGTCAGGTGAGATGACACACAGGACATATAAAGCAGGACACAAATGAATGCAGGCTGCTCAAGTCCGAAACCCAGAGGACTGGTCTGGGGGTTAGCTTGCTCCTCTGTGGATGCAGGAGGACATCCGTGGAAAAATGCACATGCTAAGCCCACTCTCCCTCCAGGACCCTGGGAGAAACAGAGGCTGGAGTGGCGGAGAGGATGGTAGGGACCCAAGAGGGCATCTGTGCAGCCGGAGCAAGTCCAAGCTTGGCCAAGGGCACCCGACCAGAGAGAGAGAAGGGCGTGGGAAGTGAAGGGTGGTTCTGGGGTGGAGCACAGAAAGATGGGTGCCCGGGCATCCCTCCCACCATGGGAGAGGGGTGCCGTGTGGCTTCTGCACATGCTCAGGCCCAGGGAGACAGGGCTGTGTGGGGAACATGGACAAGTCCGTCTGATTCCCCGGGCACCGATTGAGAGCATCCGGACAACCTTCCCAAGGTTGATGGTGACAAAGCGGTGGGCCGGGTGAACAGGAAGAAATCACCTGATCCTGGGAGACATCTGCCCGAGAGGTCCTTATCAATCAACCTCTGAGGTCCCACAAGCTGCACGCCAGTGTGATGACCTTTCCGTGCCCGGGGATCTCAGCTGTGCTGAAGGCGTTGCAGACACCCCCAGATGGAGGCTGCCTCCCAGCAGCGGTACTGCTCTCCTGTCTTCTCAAACCTTCCACAACACCCAGCTGGTGCCCACCCTCCATTCCCCAAGCAGCCACCCAACCTCGATCTTTTTTTTTTCTTAATTTTTTTGTCAACCCTCACTCGAAGATATTTTTTCCATTGCTTTTCAGAAAGAGTGGAGGGGGGATGGTGGAGAGTGAGAGAAACATCGATGTGAGAGAGATGTGTCAATTGGTCGATTCCTGCACGCGCCCCAACAGGGCTGGGGATTGAACCTGCAACCGAGGTACTTGCCCTTGACCGACAATCAAACCTGCGATCCTTCGGTGCGCGGGCCAACGCTCTAACCACTGAGCCACACCGGCCAGGGCGCAACCTTGCTCTTGACGCCTCGCTATACCACAGTGAACCGCCTGGCCTCTCCGACCNAGATATTTTTTCCATTGCTTTTCAGAAAGAGTGGAGGGGGGAAGGTGGAGAGTGAGAGAAACATCGATGTGAGAGAGATGTGTCAATTGGTCGATTCCTGCACGCGCCCCAACAGGG